CCCCAGGTGTGTCCCCAGCTGTCCCCAGGTGTGTCCCCAGGTGTGTCCCCAGCTGTCCCTAGGTGTGCCCCAGGTGTCCCCAGCTGTCCCCAGGTGTCCCCAGGTGTGTCCCCAGGTGTGTCCCAGCTGTCCCCAGGTGTGTCCCAGCTGTCCCCACGTGCCCCAGCTGTGTCCCCAGGTGTGTCCCAGGTGTCCCCAGGTGTCCCCAGGTGTGTCACCTGCAGCAGCAGGTGGTATTTCAGCACCCTCTGCATGGGCACCATCAGCAGGTCCCGCAGCGCTGTCCCCAGGTGTGTCCCAGCTGTCCCCACGTGCCCCAGCTGTGTCCCCAGGTGTGTCCCAGGTGTCCCCAGGTGTCCCCAGGTGTGTCACCTGCAGCAGCAGGTGGTATTTCAGCACCCTCTGCATGGGCACCATCAGCAGGTCCCGCAGCGAGAAGCGCCCGTTGTTGGCGCGCTGGGAGCACTCCTGGGGACAGCGGGGACAGCGGGGTCACTTTGGGGACATTGGGGACATTGGGGACATCAGGGACATCAAAGACATTTGGGGACATTGGGGACATTTGGGATATTTGGGGTCATTTGGGACATTGGGGACATCGGGGACATTGGGGACATTGGGGTCATTGGGGACATTGGGGACATTTGGGGTCATTTGGGGTCATTTGGGGTCATTTGGGCCATCGGGGACATTGGGGACATCGGGGATATTTGGGGTCATTTGGGCCATTGGGGCCATTGGGGACATTGGGGTCACTTTGGGGTCAGCGGGGACATTGGGAACATTGGGGACATCGGGGTCACTTTGGGGACATTTGGGGTCACCGGGGACATTGGGGTCATTTGGGGACATCGGGGACATTTGGGGACATTCGGGGACACTTTGGGGTCACTTTGGGTCGCTTTGCGTCACTTTGGGGTCATTTGGGATCAGTTTGGGTTCACCGGGGACACTGGGGTCTTTTGGGGTCAGTTTGGGTCACTTTGGGGTCATTTGGGTCACTTTGGGGCCAGCAGGGAAATTTGGGTCATTTAGGGTCACTTTGGTGTCCTTTAAGGTCATTTAGGGTCATTTTGAGGTCATTTGGGGTCATTTAGGGTCAGTTTGGGATCAGTTTGGGTCAGTTTAGGTCATTGGGGTCACTTTGGGGCCATTTGGGGTCAGTTTGGGGTTTTTTGGGGCTCACCTGGAGCTTTTTGGAGTGGTTTGGGAAGGATTTGGGGGATTTTGGGGATTTTTGGTGGTGGGACTTTGGGGTCACTTTGGGTCGCTTTGCGTCACTTTGGGGTCATTTGGGATCAGTTTGGGTTCACCGGGGACACTGGGGTCTTTTGGGGTCAGTTTGGGTCACTTTGGGGTCATTTGGGTCACTTTGGGGCCAGCAGGGAAATTTGGGTCATTTAGGGTCACTTTGGGGTCACTTTGGTGTCCTTTAAGGTCATTTAGGGTCATTTGGGTCATTTAGGGTCAGTTTGGGATCAGTTTGGGTCAGTTTAGGTCATTGGGGTCACTTTGGGGCCATTTGGGGTCAGTTTGGGGTTTTTTGGGGCTCACCTGGAGCTTTTTGGAGTGGTTTGGGAAGGATTTGGGGGATTTTTGGGGAATTTTGGGGATTTTTGGGGGTTCTGGTGGTGGGTTGGGATTTTGGGGATTCACGGAGAGGTCGGGAAGGATTTTGGGGTGGTTTTGGGGTTTTTTGGGGCGCACCTGGAGCTTCATGCGCAGGTCAGTGCAGGAGGAGAGCTGGTCCAGGCGCCGCGCGGCCGCTTCCACCTGGCTGCAGTAGCGGCCGTAGAGGAGGAACCTGGGGGGACACCAAAATCACCCAAAATAACCCAAAATTCAACAAAATTCATCCGAAATCTGAGAAAATTCAAACAAAACTCAACAAAATTCACCCAAAATCTGACAAAATTCACCCCAAATCCACCCAAAATCCACCTGGCTGCAGTAGCGGCCGTAGAGGAGGAACCTGGGATGGACACCCAAAATCATCCAAAATCACCCAAAAGAACCCAAAATGCAACAAAATTCATCCGAAAGCTGAGAAAATTCAAACAAAACTCAAGAAAATTCACCCAAAATCTGACAAAATTCACCCCAAATCCACCCAAAATCCACCTGGCTGCAGTAGCGGCCGTAGAGGAGGAACCTGGGATGGACACCCAAAATCATCCAAAATCACCCAAAAGAACCCAAAATGCAACAAAATTCATCCGAAAGCTGAGAAAATTCAAACAAAACTCAAGAAAATTCACCCAAAATCTGACAAAATTCACCCCAAATCCACCCAAAATCCACCTGGCTGCAGTAGCGGCCGTAGAGGAGGAACCTGGGATGGACACCCAAAATCATCCAAAATCACCCAAAAGAACCCAAAATGCAACAAAATTCATCCAAAATTCAACAAAATTCAAATAAAATTCAACCAAAATCACCCAAAATCCAACAAAATTTCACATAAAAACTGACAAAATCCACCCAAAATCCACCTGGCTGCAGTAGCGGTCGTAGAGGAGGAACCTGGGGGGACACCAAAATAACCCAAAATTCAACAAAATTCAACAAAATTAATCCAAAATCCAACAAAATTAATCCAAAATCCAACAAAATTCAGCCAAAATCCAACAAAATTTCACATAAAAACTGACAAAATTTCACCCCAAATCCACCCCAAATCCACCTGGCTGCAGTAGCGGCCGTAGAGGAGGAACCTGGGGGGACACCAAAATCACCCAAAATCCAACCAAAATCAGACACCAAAATCACCCAAAATTCAACAAAATTCATGCAAAATCTGACAAAATTCAGCCCAATTTCATCACAATCCACCAAAATTCACTCAATAATCAACAAAAAAAAAATCCAAAATTCACACAAAAATTTAAAAAAATTCATGGAAATCCACCCCAAATCCACCTGGCTGCGGTAGTGGTGCTGGAGGAAGAACCTGGGGTGGGCACCAAAAATCTGCCCAAATTCACCCAAAATCCAACAAAATTCACCCAAAAATCAAAAAATTAATCAAAAAATAATTTTAAAAATCATGGAAATCCACCCAAAATCCC